TATAGCTGAGTAATACTCCATTGTAAATACTGAGGGAATGTGACTGACCTTGTCAGATACAAAAGTTACATTTCTTCTTATATAGATCTTGCTTTGCCTTGGTCTTAACTATCCAGCAGAAAAGTAAAATACCGAGGTAATAAAAGTAAAGCCATATTAATATGCTGAGCTGTAAAGGGCTCAAGTCAACAACTTCTGATGTTGCCAGTCCTATGGATAACCCACTATTATTATGGATTCCTGGAGTTATTGGATTATTTTGCTGAATTCATGCACCTACAATATTTAAATGGCAATGGAATACCCATCTCTGACAAAACTAAACAAAAAAAGGGGATACAAATGAAGGACCATTTTGTATCTGTATATTCAAAATAGTTAGGATAGATATACAGCTACACTCTCTTAATTCAATGAATAAGAAGATTTGTTCTAATAGTGTTTGTGGATGAGATGTCATGTCTGCGTCTTGTACAATGAATAACCACTGACACAACAATGTGAAATGTATTATTATTGAAACTGTCCTACTGATCGGTTTTGAAATTGTCTCATTGCTATTTGTTTCTCAATATAATTATTTAAAAAAAGAATTATAATAGTATTTGGACAGGATGTCATGTCTGCATCTTGTACTATGAAGAACCACTATGAACAACATGCAATGTATTAATTATTGAAACTGTCCTATTAATTGGTTTTGAAACGGTCGCATTGCTATTTGTTTCTCAATAAAATTAATAAAAATAAATAAATACATTTCTAATAAATGAAAGGAAGGACTGGCAAGTGCAGGATCCTAAGCTCAATCCCAGGTACCAAAAAATATAAAATAAAAGGAAGCAAATAAAAATGAACAGTTGATTAAAATTGGAGTGTACTGCTTAGAACAGTGCATAAAGGACTAGACAGAAGAGCAAACAGGAAATAGAAAAAAAGAATTCCACATACAAGACCTTCCTTTTGAAGTCTACAAAATATTGTAAAAGGAAAAAGTTAGAATTTCATTTAAATGAAGGGGAAATACAATAATTAATGATTGGAAGACTCAATTTTTAAAAGGTATTGATCATATATAAATATAAACAGAATAATCCAAAAATCTGGCATATATTTTATAGAAATTTATAAAATGATGTTAAAATTGATAGGGAAATGCAAAGGAAATTAATTTATAAAATACTTGTCAGAAGAAAAAAGTGGAATATTTATCTAAATGACTTTAAGAGATGCTATAAAACTACATTAATTATAAGAGTATGCTACTAGAAAAATTAATAAATCAATGATTGGAGAATACAAAGTCCAGAAATAGACCCATTGTTTTATGTTATGCATAAAACAATGAAAAAACTTCTAATAATCATTTAACAAATGGGCAAGCATTTGTTATGTTGGCAAAACAAATAGAAAATGGGAAGATGAACCTTAATCTCTACCTCATGCTATAATAAAAATTATCTTTTCATAAATGATAGACCTAAAAATAAAGGTAAAACAGATTCTAGAGGACAATATGGAATAATACTTTCCTAACTAGGGATTGATAGTGATTACTTAGTGATAAAAAGGAAATCACAATAAAAGGAAAAAATGATAAATTGTCCTTCAAGTAAATTTCTAATCATCAAAAGGTATCATTAAAAAAGAAAAATAATATGCTGAAAATATGCATAATATCTATTTCTGATAAAGGACTCCTACCTAAAATGTATTTTAAAATTGCTACAACTATATAAGTAAAGCACCTGCTTAGGCAGGTTTAGGCAAAGTACAGGGGCAGTGGTTCAATCCCTGGCACCACATGCAGCCCAGCCCCACCTCCAGGTGGGCTGAGCCAACCTCAAAAAAAAGACGTTAGGTGTGGTGACCTGTAGGCTGTAAATCCCAGCACTTTGAGAGCCTGAGGTGGGAGGAGTAGAAGATTCAACCTAGTCTGGACAATTTAGCTATTTAACAAGATGCTGTCTCAAAAAAATAAAAAATAAGGGCTGGCGAAATAGCTCAGTGAACTAAGCACTTATGTAAGTGGAGGGGCCAGAGTTTGATCCCTGGCACCACATGCCACACTGGCCCCACCCCCAGGTGTGCTGAGCCATCCTTGGAGTCTGGGCGTGGTGGCACACACCTGTAATCGCAGCCATATGGAAGCAGAAATCAGGAGGATCACTATGAGTCTGAGCTCCATACTGAGACCCTGCATACACACACAAAAAACCTTAAAAAAAATAAAAAGGGGCTCGAGATTAGGAGTTTAGTTCAATGTGATAAACATAGACTGGAATCACCAGTACTACTAAAAAGAAACCAAAGACTTTTTCACACAATTACTATAGAATCACACCATAGTAAATAAAGACTGGAAGACACTTAAATGTTTTGTAATATAAGAATGTTAAGTAGAAAATCTAGTATTTCCTTATAATGGTTTTATAACATGTTGGTCACAAGAAAGTTAATTTTAAGATAACACTATATGTAAAAATATAAATATGATACTTCATTGAATTAAAAATGATCATGAAAGGAAGAAAATATTCCCAAACTGTGATTAAATTATGCAATTTTTAAATTCCCCTTTCACTTTTCATAAGTTTTACAGGAACAAACATTACTTCTATAGTCAGAAAAAACTTACGAATTTTTAATATTACTTCAAAAAATTATATAATATTGAATGGTGATTAATGTGAAATTTTTACTATATGGATTGGACACATTTTTTTTTCTTTCTGCATTTTAGGCAAGGGTATACAGGTGTTCAGGGTCTCACTACTAGATTGGATTTGTAGTGATTCTCCACCTCAGTGTGCCCCAGGGGCAGGGCTCACAGGGCAGGTACAGGATCAAACCCCCAGGCAGGCACTTTAATCCACTGAGCTATTTGGCAAGCCCTGGACACATTTTAAATTGTCACATGAAAATAGTTTTGCTATTATTAATTCTGTGTTGAACAGAAAAGTAAGCGAATTCATAAGTTGCTAGGGAAAATAAACATTTCAACAAAAAGTATACAGAAATAGAAAATGTGATTTTTCTAGATAAATGAAGCTTTGCTCTTTAACCACAAAAATTATATTTTAAATTTTTGCTATAAACCTAACATATATTTTATTTTGTACCATACATATTAAATATATCACAGTGACAAAACATAAACTCTCCTACCTCTTAGTTATATAATCTTGAGGAGTTTATATAGCAGCCATTATCTCTGTTTTCTAATCCATATAATGGATATAAAAATGTAACTTCTCTCATAGTATTGTTACATGTGAAAGAGATAATTACTGTTACAACAAAGAACATATGGAACATTGCACATTCAATAATTTGATAAATGACTCAATAGTGAGATAGTCAAAGTCTTTACAAGAACTGTAAACTTCTAACCTTTCCTTTCATTAAACAGTGTTAGGTAACTCAGTGCTATTGTTAAAGTTCTTCTCTATACCTACTTCTATGTGTTGTTCCAAATTACTTAATGTTTCTAGTTCAGAAAGTCCCTTTCTAACTTGCTGTTTCTAATCTGTTGTTTCTCATTTGCTCTTGTCTTTCCTTATGACAAAGTTTATCAAAAACAACTTTCAGGGATTGCCTATGTTGTTTCCATAGCAACTCCATAGATTAATATTTATTGCTTATTATAAGTTTTCCTATTCAATTTATATGTCTAAGGTAAAAGTACATTCCAGATAGATTGATGAATATCTACTTCCAGATTAATACTAAAACTGATATTAGTGAATTATAAATGTTTTATGATCATAAGCAGAAATTTAATGGTTAATGAGAATTAAGTTTTGAAAATTTTCAGTGACATAAAAAGTAGAGCAAACAGTTGCCTATAATTGATATACAAAGTTTTATGAAATAATTAAAATATTCAGGCAGAGTAACATAGGATATAGTTATCTGTACCATTTTATGCTGCACATTTCATACAATAACAGATTAAATATACTATGATAGTCACAGAAGATTTTAAGAAGGTGCAAATGTTTTTTCATCTCATATATTTACCATACGTTTTCTATATGAAGATACAAAAAACTTATTGTTGTGTTACAGTTGCCTCTAATTCAGCAATATCTGGACAAGTCTGTATCCCCAAGTAATAGCCCATACAGCCTGCTGCTTAGAAGGCTAGACCATCCAGGTTCGTGTAAATACAAAGGAATTTTGACTTGTAGATAGTGACAACTGCAAAATGTTTATTAATCTGTTGCTTCTACTCTTGTATTTGTTGGGACAGCCATGAAATATATACACTGTAATGATAGAAGCACAATACAAAAAACCACATGAAACAAGCTAAAAAAAATCTAGGTTTGTTTACATACACAAATTGTAGAATAGAAATTAAAAAGTTAGAAATTTCTTACATTTCATTAGAAATAAATGTAGTGGGGCCAGGGAGATAGCTCAGCGGCATAAGTACCTGCCTCGCAAGCACAAGTACCAAGTTCAATCCCCAGTACCACAAAAAAAGTACTGTTTTTTGTAGGAAAGAATTCTAGCCATGAATTGTGGCATATAACTGTAATCCTAACACTTGGGAAGCTAAGAAAGGATTTCTGGGAGTGTGAGGCCAGTTAGGCTGTATAGGGAGTTCAAGGCCAATCTGAACTATATAGTGAGACCCTGTCTCAATAAATAAATAAACGAATAAATAAATAATAAAGAATGTTATACCATGGTATAAGTCACCTTCTAAGTAATCCTGTACTTTTATAAATATGAAATTTAAAATCTTAGTACTTCTTTTGCAGAATTGGGCATCTCGAAAGATCTTTTAAAAACCAATAACCTTTTCTCCTGAAGTAGAGCGTTTTATTGTATCTTTAAAACTCGTTTATATTCATCTTTATTCTTGGTGTATGGTCTAATAAAACTATATCTTTTCTTAAAGTAGCTAACTCATTTGAAAATAATAGAAGGCTTTTATATCTTTCTAGCATCTATGTTTAATTATCTGTTTTATACCATTGTATTTTCAGGTTTGACTGAGCTGAATGACAGTCCAGTGCCACTGGAACTTGAACGCTGTAAATCTCCCACCTCAGGTAAACATGATCGGCATTTTTCAAACTTCTCATGATTCACTGCCATGATTATTGTTTTATTTTATAATTGTATGATATAAAATTCATAGTTTGAGTAATTATATTTCAGCATTATATTTCAGCTTGTGAAATTTAACCAGAAACAAATCTAATTTCAGAAATGAGTAGATGGGCTGGGAAGATAGCTCAGGAGAATAAGTGCTTGCCTGGCAAGCTGAGGGTCCTGAGTTCAATCCCCGGTACCACAAAAAAAAAAGAAGAAAAAAGAAAAGAAATGAGTAGAAATGCAGTGATCTGTTGTTGCTGAACTCAACTCATTCCAAATTCATGTCCAAAAACCAAAAAGTTTGAGAAATGAGTATTTTTTAATAATATAATGGAAAACCAAATAATTGGTTCTGAGGCCCCAAAACTTAATCTTATAAATTCACTTTTTCACAAAAAAATAAAATGAAAGAAATCATTTTTCTAGGACTTCAATAAATTTCACAATTTCTTTCTTTAACTGTTTCATTGTTTTCACAGTTTTCCTCTTAGCTTTATTGCTAGTATCACTAAATTTCTTTGGTGCTATGGTTATAATATTTTATACAGATAAAACAGAAGAAGGGCCAGCGAAACAGCTCAGTGGATTAAAGCGCCTGCAAGCAGGCACAGGGGCCAGGGGTTCAATCCCCAGGCCTGCCACACCGGCCCCACCCCCAGGGCGTGCTGAGACAGCAACTGAGACTGGGCATGATGGTGCGCACCTGTAATCCCAGCTCTTAAGAGGCTATAAACAGGCAGATCA